GAGGGAGAGAAAGCCACAGCCCTAACACCCACAGGCATCATCATGCGACCATTCCTATGACAGAACAGAATTGAAGGGGCATCTGGAAGATGCGAAAACTATAGCCGTGTCAGTCTGCGGGAGCTCGAGACGAGGTTCACCTTAATTCTCAACATACCACTGCCCAGTGGGAGCCAGGCTACATCGGAAGATGAAGGGCTTCATGGCCATTTTCTATTCCTGAGTTAAAAGAGGCATGGAAGGATGATTTTGTTCTGAGGGTATCCAATCAGCTCTCTGCTTCTAAGTGGAACCAGAGATATCCAGGGTAATGAAAGGTCATCTCAAACAAGGCACTAGCAACTTCTTAGGAGAAAGTGAGCTAGCCACGCTACAGAGAGGGCAGCTAATGACGCTTTTCTTAACATCATCATAGAAGAACAGTACTCATTTTTCACAATCCAGTCTTGGCTCTCCACTTGGATTTGTCTAACATTTGATTCATTTGGCATTAAATTTTCAAAAGACTGAGAAAGAAGAGATCATGTTTGAATGACTGGCCTCATATTTCTGACTAAATACTATGAGGTGGAATAAATGATTTTGCCTGACTTTACATTTTAGTTTAAGAAATGCCATGGGCTACATTTCTAGCTCTGTATTTCTTTCTTTCTTTTCTTTTTTAGTATTTATTTATTAATACTGCAGGGTCTCACTATGCAGCTTGGTCTCATAGTGAACCTCCTGTCTCAGCCTCCCCAAAGCTTGAATTACACATTTCAGTGGCCCACACAGCATGTGGGGCCAGGACGTCATGTGGTACAGAGTGCCTTGTGGTACCAGGGATCAATCCCAGGTCCTTGAGCTTGCCAGGTAGGCGCTTCAACCACCACACTATCTCCCCAGCCCTCTAGCTCTGCATTCCTCCTGCTAGAACTGGAGGTATCCCTGACTAGCTTACTAGTATAAACTTCACTGTATCCATACAGTATAACCCTGCTGCTTGGACAAGAGTTGATACTGTCTCTGAACATGAACAATAACCAAGAGAGTTTTCTATGGCAGGACTGATACGCTTTTCACAAAGTGTGATCTTCTAAAAAGAGCGCCGGGCTCTGAAAATACTTTTGTTGAAGCTCTAAGGACATTGCATTATGAGCTATATTTTAAAAGAGAAAAGGTTTTCATTTCTGATACCTCAGTAATGCATGCTAAATTTGTGTTTATGCAGCATGTGAAAACTGAATAAAAAAGTTAATCCATCTGCTAAAAAATGTGAATGTGTTTTAATATAAGCCCATAAAGAAGAGTCATTTCAGAAATTGCTGCCAAAGGTCCAACATCCCATCCATTTTCAACTTTCCAAAGAGAAAAAGAGGTAAGTATAAAAGCAATTTTATTCTTTTCTTTTGTCAGGTTATCCAAGCCGACAATCTGAATCTGAATGCCTTGGCTCAGCATTGATAGTGTTGGGAAATGTTTTCAAATATAATTTAATTAATAACCACAATGGGAGAGGACAGCAGAAATAAATTCCACAGTGTTTCCTGTGCTCTGCACATTTTATCCTGTATCACAATGCACGTGTGCCCAGCATTGCCTTTCAGGCATGTCTTTGGTGGAAATGAATACTACTTTGACCCTTCTTAATTTTATGCTGATTTCCCCAGGAATCTGTGCGCTCAGAATGGCTTCTAGCATGTGATGGTAGAAAACCATAGACCATCTATCACAGATAAAGGTAAATAACCAAATATTAGCAATGTCATGGCAACATAAACCTCTGAGCACAGTAGAAGAGTGTCATCACTCAGGGATGGCTGGACATGGCCAGTGCTAGCTGTGAACTCCAACATGTATCATATTAAAAAAAAATTCCAGAACTTATTCATGAGTTGATTTAAGGCTTCTGTCTTGACAACTTCATGAAAATTCATTAGTGGAGCCATGAGACAGACACAACCCTGATACTTGGAGAACTGAAGCCGATGCAGCTCCTTGTATCGACCGCTGTGACCTAACTCCTTTGCCGAGGTGCTCCCGTGTGATGTTACTTTTGAGACCAAAATGCTAATTTCATTGAGGAAAGCTCAGAACGTCACGCAAAACAAGAAAGCCCCACTGAAATGCTTTGAAGGAAAGTTAATGGGGACGGGTAAAAGCTGATATGGAAAGTGGTGAGCGTTGGGAAATATTAACTCTACGAGTAAGCTAAATAGAGAAGCGTAAGGACACTTGCAAAGCCAATGCTATCAAAGCTGTGTGTAGGAGAAACAACTAGCTGAGTGCATACTTGATGGATTTGAGGGTAGAATTTCCTGTGCTATTCAGTTATACTGCAAAGTATCCTTTAGGTGGCATGTTGGGGGCATGGTGTCTCCTCTGCTCAGTTTTCCATCCCTTGGAAGGCAAGCTCCATGAATTCTAGATTCAGGCGGACATAGTCACTGAAGTAGGTTTATCTCCTGTGTTTTTCCCCCTTGCTGAGTGACCTGTCTCTCATTTTCTTTGCCATCTACTTATCTGATTATTTGCCACATTTGCTTCATTTCTTTCTAACATACCCATGAGTCAGAGAGAGCGGATCCTAGCTTTACCCCAGACCATGTCAACTGCCCATTCCAGGGACAGAAGTGTCTCTATGGCAGGGACAGTTCCCATCCATTCGCTATCTGTAATTCCTGTGGAATCCCCACCTATCCCGCCATGTGCACAAGAACCCAACCCTTCCCCTCATACCAGGGTCGATTCCAAGCCCGGTGGACTGGCTTAAGCTCACGTTTCTACACCAGCCGGAAGTTCAGATGCCTCCGTTATGTTTTAGAGGGAGGAGGCAGGGAAATGCATGTTGGGGAAGTCTTGAAGGCGATGCCCTGGCATTTTCTGGCAACAGTGGCTTTTCTTTGTAACTGAGCCTCACTCAGTGCAAAAGCGCCTTAGAACTCGCGGAGTTTGTGTGACTGACAGCTGAGACAGCCCACAGTTTCCCCGAAGTCCCCAGATAGTGAGGGAGGAAGCACTGGGCCCTGTGCAGGGGTCCTGCCGTCCCTTCCACAGTATGTCAGTGTCCTAGAGTATGGATGGCGATGAGTCTGCTCCAGAGAAAGGACCCTGAATAGCGTTGGGCCTTGTTTTGTAAGAATTTAAATGTGACTACAATTTCCTAATGAAAATCGTCCAAATTTGAAATGTACCTGGAAATAGCCCTAGAAATTAACCTGTCATTAGTGCTGTATGATACCAGGTTCAAACATGGACAGCTTAAAGGATGTCTCTATTTGTGCAGCCTAAACACACACAGAACAAAAGGAAGTAAAGGAAGGAAGAATGGGAGAAAGGAGAGATAAATGTAAATGTCTGTCAAGAATTCAAATCTTCACATAGTCTTCAGCAGGAATCCCAGACCTGGAGTTCCGGCCTACAGCGAAGCTGCTCCAGGGAGGATGCAGTCATGCAGGCAGAGGACACCGGGCACGCGCCACAGCCAAGGCTCAGGGCCAGGACAGTGCTGGAGGTAGAGCGTGCACAGGGCCTGCGGGCAACAGCAGCACGGCGACACAAAGCAGACGCGATTGTTCCGCAGGTGGTTGGATTGCCTAGAACACAGCTCAGCTATTCTGAATGGAGGGCTTTTCTGCTAAGAGAGAAAAGTTAGGGAGGCACTTTCCCTTGAACAGAGAGCATCACGGAGCAGCACATGAGGGGACTTTTCTTCAGCGTTAATCTTGAAGGCCCACATTATCCAAAACATGACACTCTGGGTTAAAGGGAGGCTGGCTTTCCTGATCACTGCGTATGACTGCCTAAAGCCCAGCCTGGAGGCCACTTAGAGAGTAGTTCACATCAAGTCCAGTGACAAATTCATAAAATATTAAGTATCCTCCTTCTTAGGGGAGATAAAATGACCTCTGAAACTTAGAAAATACTTAGGAGAGGGTGATTATAAGAAAAAAAGCTAGGATGTGCTACGCAGCAAGGATTTCTTTTGCTTAAAGAGATGAGGCAAAGTATCCAGTGAAAATCCATCCGGGAACCAATCAGGAAACCTCTATGTAGTGGACGCTGTGGAAGTGTGTACAACGGGGGATGCGTGCACCACACGTGCAAGGTGTGTGCAACACCATGAGGCCCTGAGGGCAAGCCTCGTGCTTCCCTGTATGGCCGAACAGATCTCCCGCGCCCAAGCAGCAGACCCACAGAACCGTGGGCTGAATTGAGCAGAGAGCCTTTGCTGGCCAGTTAGATATTTCAGAATATTGAGAACTCAGGAATATCCATTATTTGCTAAGCATAAGACCTTCCTAACACTCTCTGAGACTGCTGTTTTAAATTGGGTAAGATAAAAACACACATGCTCTGTGTTCCTCATCACCCTTACTGTACCTTTTTCACAAACCTGAAGGTTCCTCTATCGATAAGTACACAGACTAATGTCTGTTCAGGCCCTTACTATAATGCCCAGAGGCACTGGATGACCTGTTTCAATTTTGTTCTTACTTCTGATAATTATTCCACCAATTACCATATGTTATATGAATCCACTGTTTGCAAGTAATTTATCTTTTCTCTTCTGGAGATTTCTATGAACAATCTTATAACAACCTGAAATGCTAATCAACCATGAAGGCTGACACCCCAGGGGCGGTCAGAGCCCTCCTTCCTGTCCTTCCTTCTGCCCTGACCACCCCCAACCTCCAGTGCTCTTTGAGCCACCCTTGCCTCAGTGTAGGGGAGGCAGGCTTGGAAGATGGGTACACAGGGAGACAGTGCTGAGATAAGGAAAAGGAAGCCAAACACCTGCCCCCTCTGGCCTGGGAGCTGCAAGTGGCAGCCTGGTATGGGGTGTCGCCTCTGTGTGCACCAGGACAGGCAAAGAAAGCCAGTTTTACACATCATTAATATTCTTGGTTGGGGCCAAATGCGGTGCATTACTTATATCAGGGAAGATGGAAAACAAAAAGATGCTTGTCCCTATGCAGCAGTTCTTCAAATACTCTGAATAATACAGAAACAATTTCTAAAAGTTATTTTCTTTCTAGATCTGAACTCTCAATACTTTCCCTAGTTGGCAATATCTGTGTGCTGGGAGAGGAGGTGTGGAGTCGATCCACCTTCTGAAGAGTGACTGCTCCACAGGCTGCTCTGTGGGACATTCCTGGTGGGCTTCAGGCCAACATGAAAAGCAGAAGTCACCGGGAGGCTGGTTTTGCAGCAAGCCGCAGAGTGCCGTCCTGAGTCCCTGTGTCTGTGCCTGGGTCCCGTGTGTTCATTCCACAGCGGAGCAGTCGTGGCCTCCAGATCCAGGTGGGCCTCTCAGCTGACCATCACCTGGGCAGGTGCAGGGCAGGTGGGCTCCCTGGACTCCTGGGCTTTCTCGGGCAAGACGCTTTCCAAGTCCAAACATAGCTGCTCCTGAGAACCTATAGCATTTTCCACAATATGAAAATTGGGAGGTCCGTGGCAAACACTCCTTAGACCAAATTCATTTTCTTCAATTTGTCAAACAATATGGACCTTGTGGATAGAGGGGCTCTCAGAGAAGGTGCTTATTTTCTTGAATAAAGACATGAAGACCTCAAATTAAGAAGAAATTTGTATTCCTCTGATACCTTCCAACACAGGTGGCATATATGTAAAATAAAGTTCATGGAACAACAGGCTGAATATGATTTAAAAAACTTCACACCATGGCTCATTTCACAGTGATCAACTGTTCACTGTAGACCAGATTTTCACTGTGTCCTATTTAGCTTTCGGTGGCATTTTAAGGATGTGTATTTGGGGCAGCAACGGGACACTCATGGCTTGAAATGCACTTGAAATAGACCCAAACTTCCTCTTAGAAGCCTTGGAAACATGGAAGTCTGGAGCACAGGCTTTGAGGAACTGAGGATTTACAAGAAGCCAAAAATATGAGTCATTAGTACTCGTCATAATTATTGAGATCTGTAAAGTAGGCATTAGAATAGGTCTTCCCAGTAAGATGAGGGTTGAAGTATTTGTTTCTTTCTTCTAGGATCAGGTTGTTCTTGTTAAATGCCTGTAAAATATATACGTTGAAAAATGTCACAATACTCAGTAGATAATACGCTAGAATGAATATAACCAGGAGCCCAGGATGTAGAATTTGAGCTGGATCTTATAGTCTCATTATTTATTTATTTATTTTTGGAAGGGTCTACAGGGTGTTGAGGGTCTCACTACTAGACCGGACTAGTAGTGATCCACCTGTTTAGAGCCTCCCAAAAGCTGGGATTACAGTTCGCACCACCACTGCCCAGTCTCTGTTGCTGTTCCAGCGCGCCCCGGGGGAGGAGCCAGCATGGAAGAGGATCAAACCTCTGGCCCTGTGGCTGCTCGCAGGTGCTTTAGTCGGCTGAGCTATTTGGCCAGCCCAGTTTTATTATCTTGGAAAGCATTTTCTCACGGCCGGCTTCCCCAGATTATTAGTCTCGTGGAAGACTTGCCTGATAAGTACAGGGAGGCTGACCATCTTTGGTATATTTGATTCTATTTTTAGACTCTAGTAAAGAAGTTACTGCGAGAAGCAAGGCATCAGAAAACCCAAATCAAACCTTCTAGAAAAACTTGAATGATTTTCAACCAAAAGACTTTAAATATCACCACACATAGAAGAATATATTTAAGTAGTTTTAAGTTTTCACTGGACAGGTACATTTATCAGTGATCTTGACAGATCTTATTTACATGAATGCATCAGATTTAAATGGATCGATTTCTTTCCACGCTGTGCTTAACATGCTGAGGTGCCATCTCTGGCACAAGGCCCTTTGATAGCCATAAGTCACCTACAACTCCAAAGAAACCAAGTATGCTAAGTAGAGAGTGCTTAAAGACAAAATAAAGATGAAGCCAAGTAATCAGAGACCAACTCTTCGGGACTAGTCTGGGAAAGGTGTGCGTGAAAGTTCTAGAAGGATTCATTAAAGACCAGGCCACCACCCGTATACTCAGTGTCCTTGGCCTCCATGGCTGCACCATTTCTGGTCACCTGAAAAGTGGATGCAAAGGAGCCCAGACCAAGGGAATTACACAGGCCATTCCATGCCAGGACTCGTGCTTAGAGGAGCCCTTTCATGGCTTCCTGGCATTGGTCTGGAAGCTCCCTGCTCAGAGAAGGAGCTCCTGTCCCTCTGCACACTGCGCGAGGTCTAAGGGCCTGCTCTTGACTCCTGACTCTCATTCTCTGGGATCCTCACCCTGCTGGGGCAGTCCTAAAGTTTTCCAGATCATGGCTCAATCAGAGGCCATGGGTCAAGGTAAACTGCCCAGGTAAGGGAGAAATGCAGTCACAGGGCAGTCAGAGGTCAGGTGAGGACAGCGAACTTCCAAGGACCACCTGAGGCAGTGAGAGCTGAAGACACTCCACACACTCACATACCAAACCATGAAAGCAGAAGGAGGCCTTCAAAATGTGCTAAGGGGCACCAGCAACTTAAGTGGACTGTGACAGTGCAGTCAGACCTAGCTCAGGGAATGTCCTCCACCTGGGGAAGTACACACGAACTCTTGACACCTTTCCAGCTACACACCTGACCTGACTGGAATATGTAATGCTGAACCCATTTCAAAGATGAAGATACTGAGGTTCAGAAAAGGCCAGCTTATTCTTGCATTAGATCTGGATACCTGCGTCCGACAGTATGGCCCGTGTCACTCAGTCATGGACACGTTCTCTGCAGGATGCTCTTCTCCCTGCATGACCTCCCTTCAGATGCACAGAGCACAGATGGGGCTGAGCCAGACAGAAGCCAGGGACCCTCGAGCCTCCAGCATGTTAGTTTTTGCTGACCTCCTGGCTCTCTAACTATATTCCCAGTAGAAGTTCTTGTCTTTGCAGGGGCAAAGCTAACAGGGCCCTTCACCACTAACGGTCCCTCTTCTGGCGTCACCTACTACGTGGTGACACCAGCGAGCTTTGCAAACACTCCAGGGTCCACCGAGCTTTGCCCACGTGGCTGCAGTTGTCATGCTGATTGCTTACCTTGATGGCCTCCACTGAGTCGTACTTGTCCAGTTTGTTGATGTGGTTGGTTATGCTGGTGTTGAGAGGGGCAGGTGACACGGGGTGGATGACAGTCGCATCATGGGATTGCTGCTGGTAGCGCTGGCAGTAGGTGTAGACGAGCAGGGTGAGGAGGCAGCCGAGGATGGAGCTGCTCAGGCCCACGGCGATCATGTGGAACATATTGAACTCTGGGGGACACAAGCAACATGAGGCTGTGCTGGAGAAGACGGTGCTACCCACCAGCTCGAGGCACTCTGAGCCAAAGAGGCAGGGATAAGCATGCTCACTGTAAAGCGAAAGAAGTCCCATTTGCTTCCCTTAACCTGTCACAGGCAATAGCTTCTCCAGAGGGAACATGGTATATGTTAAATTCATGCTTATCTAGTTTATAAATTAGATGCATCTTAAAACTTAGTGTGCTTGGGCTGGCAAGAGAGCTCAGCAGACTAAAGTGCCTGCTTAGTTAGCTTAGACAAGTACAGGGACCGTACTTGATCCCTGGCACCACCTGCCCTGACAGCCCTGCCCCCAGGGAGGGCTGAGCTGGTCACAGTCCGGCCATAGTGGTGCACACCTATAATCCCAGCTCTAGAGAGGCTGAAAGCAGGAGGATCGTTATGAATCAAAGCTGCACAGTGAGACCCTGAAACAACCAAATTCATTAAAAAAAAATTAGTATGCTAGAAGCATCTATGTTGTCTGTTCCTTTGAAACTTGCCCAATGCTATTCTTCTGTCCCACACTCTTTGCCATCTCTGGCCTGTGAGGGTTTGGGGAACCGTGTACACCTGTTCCTTCAAGGGCATCCAACAAGGGGATACACTCTCATCCCTACACACCTGAGAGCCACACTGCTTCCCCTGTTTTCCGTATTATTTTCTTTTTTGTACCAGGCATCATACTCAGGACCTCACACTTGTCAGGCATGGGCTTATGCCGCTGAGCTATCTCCCCAGCCATTTCCTTATTATTTCATTTAACAACATTTTCCATTATAGTTTTGAATATGAATGTAAACACACTGCATATTAGAAACCTCTAAAGGCTCTAAAGGAAAAAAAATCCATCTCCCTTCTCTATTAACAGTAACTACTGTAGCTCTGCCTTTGAGGGTCCCCCCATGCTCTGCACACCTGTGTGTAGACGGGATCCACTGCTGTTTTTGTTTATGTTGTATTTTGAAGATCTTATCAGAAAAATGGTTTACTCCAATGACTTGAAGGATTTGTGCTAACAGAATAAAATATGATATCTTAGGAGGTCACCAATTGTATCTCTTCACCTATTGTTTCTCTGTTCAATAAGCATCTCTTCATTTGAGGTTCTTTTCCTTGAGGTGGGAGTATGAAGTATTGAAAATGTGAGCTGGATGCACCTACATCACTGAATAAGAAGGGGTGTGGGGGGCCGGAGGCCGCCTTGATGCCCAGCATATAATAATAAAGAACCAGGCAGCCACTCGGAGTTTCCAAAACACTACTATGAAGTTGTCAAGCCTTTCTGGGGACAAAGGCAACATCTAGGCAGTGGTGACAGAGCTGAAAGGAGAAGTCATACAAGACGGAACAGGTCCTTCCTCCTTCCACCCGGTCTCGGTGCTCTGTGACTAACCACCTGGGAGGTACTAGGCTCATGCCTCCCCTGTGCAGAACACACCCTAAGGACTCTCACTTTTCCTCCAGTGGTCCCCACTGTGCACCACAGTGGTGGACTGGCCCATCTTCTGCGTTTGCTGTACTTTTGTGTCCTGCCAACCCTGGATCAAGCAGAACTATGCAGATGCCTGCTGGGTACAAGCTCAGAAGTTAGATGAGGCCATCTGACCTCAGAGCAAAGTCTCCAGGTCTCTGGGGGCAACACGATCCTGAAGCTCTGTCCCTTATCTCTGTGGCCAGGTGTGTTTGCAGTTTAACCTTCAGGACCTTCTCCCCTCCCTTCTGCCTCAAGGAAAGACATTCCTCCACAGAACTTCCTCCCTGTGCTTGATTCAGAAGCCTACTGTCCATGCCCACTACTTGCAAGAGCCCCTCCTCCAGTGCAGGCCCACAGCTGACAGGTGCCAAGGAAGCACTCCAATGTCCATCTGGGGCAAAGTTCTAGCAGGATGCCAGGACTCTGGCTGAATCCTTCCTGTGTCCCCACAGAGCCCAGGGTGGGAAGAGCCCTCAGGAGAAGCTGAGCCTCAGGATGGGAGAAGCCCACAGAGCCCCTGAAACATGTGATGCCAAAAGTTCATTACCCCCATGTGCCCCAAACACCAGGTTGCCAGGGTGTTTAGGGGCACGTGGGGGTACACTGAGCTCCTCTCTCTTCAGGCTAGGAGATGGATGTGCTACTTGAGGTGGAGGGACACAGTTAGCCAAGGCCACTTTCTCTTGGGATCAGGGTCATCCCTGCCCAACGTCACACTGCTAGGCACCTGGAATTCCACACAAGAATGCAGCTCCTGCCACAAGCGTGGGAGTATTGAGCACTGATGGCCTGATGCTCCAGACAGATGACCCCAGAGCTTTGCACAGCTACCCTCCTGGTCTCCACACCCGGCGCACTTTGGCCAATGGCACAAGACCACAGAAGACTTCACAAACCTTCCACCTTTCCTGGTTTGGTCATGCAGCTGAGGGAGCCCTGGGGCTCCCAGCCTGGAGGCATCGGCTAACACATCCCAGGGCCATCCCACAGCTATCACCAGAACTTTATTGTAACACTGGGATTGACCTTAAAAGAAGCAAGTATAGATATCACACAAGCTTTCGTGTCTATATTTTAGCTGTTAGGACTCCCTGGGGTTAATGCCACACACTGACAAAAACATTTTCTGTTGTACTGATAACTCGTATTTCATTATGACACAGAGAAGATGTATGATGGTCCCCACACGTAGATACTTTGTCATTAGTCAAATGAATCTTCCCCGTAGGTGCCTGGGGAAGGCTGCGGCCAGCTGACAGCTTTACAAGGATCACAGAGTCTTTGTGTCTCTTGCAACCAAAAATAGCTCAGCTGAAAAATCTCCATAAGAGAGCATTTTCTAGAGAGAAAAAAAGCAGTGTCTGCGATATCTTTTTAAAGCTGTTTACTCATGTCCTTTCCTGTGAATATGTGTCCTTCTTTTTTGTTATTTTTAATTTATTTCTGGTCAATAAAGTTGGAATAGAGACTAATCCTCCAGTTGGTTTAACTGCATGATTTCCAGTGCAAAGTTTGATTGTTTGGTTTCAGGGAAAATACATCTGTGTTGTCTTGCTAAATATCCCAGACATCCTTGCTAGGTGATGGTTCTTGTCGATTAGTCCTTCCTGTGTTCTATCTCATCTCTTTCCACATACATCAATGCCAGCAGCCTAAAGAGCTACAACAATCAGGTCCAAAGGATGCGGAATAACTCATGCTTCCATGATGTAGCCAGCAGCTTCTCCAGGGTAGGCTCTGGTGTGCCCAGTTATCTAGCACACTGGTTTAGCCACCAAACATCACTCCAAGATGAAGGTGGCTTTGCGCGGTGTCTCCTTCATGCTCAAAGCCCAGAAGGATTTACACACAGGGATCTGGGCAAGGAGGCTGTCCTGGGGAAATGGACTGTGTGCATGGGAGGCTGCAGTCAACTCTGCTGAGCTACCAGCTATGCGGCCTTGAGGATGGTAGGGCACTTTATACACTGCTCCCCTTCTGAGTAGCATTTTCTCCTCCAGGCAGCAGACAGACCTGAGCCATGGTGCTGACCATCACCTACCCAGGACTGCTGTGGCTCAAGGCCCCTGCCCACCGTCCTTCTAGGCACATACTGCAAAGATCCTTTCCTGAGATCTCTTGCGTGTGAACCTCCCACTCAATCCCACTGCTGGGATGCAGGGCTTGGACGTTTTATTACCTGTGTAGACTGGAGCCAGCAACATTACTCTCTGAGGCTTGAGGTCTCCACTTAGGACTCACAGGTAAAGACACAGTGGTCAATCTCTTCTACAATTTTCAAATACGAAATCTCTGGAAATGGAGACACACTCTGCTGCACTAATGTCTGACTTTGTCCACTTTCATGGAAGTCCCCTGAAGAGATTGCTTCCTGAGTTTACCTCCAGAACCTGACGGTATCATGTAATGTGCAGTATGAGCTCCCAATCACACCTCTGAAATCTGTGAATGCCCAGTTGCAAAGCTCTTCTGTTTTCAAAACTTCCATGGAAAGCTGCGGGCCATGGCGCCCACACCAATGCTCTCTGTGAGGACCACGTGGAATGCTGACTACATGGTGCATTTGCTACACTGAATGTCTGACACACACTGGTCAGTCTGAAAGAACCAAGAGGAACTCACCGATACGATTCTTTTTACGAGAGCTGCCATTTGCTCACTTTGCAGCCGGGGCCTACGTTAGCCACCACCAGTCAGTGAACTGACTGCAGTGACTTAGATCAGACCTTGGATTACTGCCTCCCTCAGTGCTTGTGTCTCTTACCACATGCTTGTTCCGAATGGGCAGAGGCTAAACAGGTCTCCAGAGTAAGCTTACAAACTGGTACAGATTAGTGCATGAAAAAGTGGGTGGACCAACAGATGGCCGACTAAACAGAGAGGATACAGTCAGCAAGCTAAGCAATGCCATTACCAATGGTAGGTGCATTCTGAAAAGATGCCTTGAAGTTCTGGAGTCCATGGCAGTATAATCAAAGACCAATCAAAGACCAATACTTCTAGAGAAACAAAAATCCAATCACGGTGTATGAAGGGTGTCAGGCATTCACCTTCTTGCCACACTTACAAAACGTCTAATGATTTTGAATCTAATGAGTGTCTCAGTTCCAACCTGTTGGGTTTGAGCTCTCTGGATCACCCTGGTAGGGGGGATTATGGTAGGAATGAGCATGCATGTGTCGTCAGCCACGCAGGTGCAAAGCAGTGCCGGAGGATGGACACTAGTTAGGATGACTAGAGGTGGACATGGTCAGTGGATCCAGAGATCGGACAGTCAGGTTTCATTCACATGTTCAAGGTCCACATTGAACAAAGCTTTGACACAAGAATGTGGCTTTTTGATATTCATTGTTGTAGAAAGTTTGAAAAATTCCTCTGGTGACATAGGTATCATCGTATGCCCAGCTACAATGTCGTCCTTCCTGTTATCTGCAGATTGAGCGTGGCTGCCATGGGTTTGCATGAACATGCTTGGATTGCATTTTACTCATGCAAGATCTACCTGTGGATCACACTAACACCCCCAACGCCTAAGGCTTACACCTCCCAGGAGCATCTGCAGACCTATCGAAGCCACAGTTGGTCAGACTCCAGGAGAAGCTGGTACTTAGATGGAGACGGGGTCCAAGAGTCTGCATTTCCATCAGGCCACCGAGGGATGCCGAGGATGCTGACTTGGGGACCCCATGTGGCAACCCCTAATCCGCATGTGAAATGGTAACTACTCCCATTTATACACAAATGTAACATTTGGGGACCCAGAAATTTCTCCACTGTGTCAGCAGCAAAAACACAGAAAACACAGGAGCAAGAAATGATCAGAAGATGCCAATGAGAAATGGGTTGGAAGGAAGAACTTACCACCACATCTCTTCTCTTCTACACTACTGGATCTTGCCACGGATACTTCTAGAAAAACAAAAAACCAATCACAGTGTATAAAAGGTGTCAGAAAGACATTTGCATTCATGCCATACTACAAAACGTCTAATGATTTTGAATCTAATGAGAGTCTCAGTCCCAAAACCTTGATTAATTATAAGTGTATTTTTTTTTTTAATCAATTCAAAGTGGACTGGGTTGAGTCACCTTCAGTAGGTGACTTTGACTTAAGAATGGTGAGTGCATTGTTAAAGATGAGGCTCAATAGGACAGAAAGAAAATGCTGTGGTCCTTCAGGCTGAAATCCGGGCACGTTGACTCCCTGTTAAAATGCAGCCTTTCTGTCACATCTGCCAAATGTGGGCTCCCTGTGGTGTCTCTCTGCGTGAAGGCACATCACAGCCTGTGTTGTCACATTCTTTTTGGGGGAAAACAATTTACCAGAGCTCAGACAAATCCCCTTAACACCTAAGATAGCTTAAAATCTAAATCACTATTCAGAAGCCCATTCACGGCCTTTGTCATGACACTCCACATGTGAGATGCCGGGAGAGGTCAGGTCTTTGAAGTGTTCTAAACCCCAAGAAAAAATATCCTTTCTGGAGTATGGGAAAGGAACTCCCTTTTCTACTGATTTTTCATATTAAATATGCCCCTGTGGTTAAATCAACAAGCTCCTAAATGTCTATGATGTATAATGAAGAACTATGGTGAATGTTTACATATTTATTTATTTATTTGGATTTTAGGGAAGGGTCTACAGGGTGTTCAGGGTCTCACTTAGATCACACTCGTAGTGATCTGCCTGTTTACAGTCTCCCAAGAGCTGGGATTACAGGCTTGTGCCACCTCGCCCAGTCTCAATTAGTGCACATGCCCATAATTCCAGCACTGAAGGGGCTGAAAACAGAAAGATCAGTACAAGTCCGAGCTGTATAGTGAGACCCTGTACCAAATACATTTTTAAAAAAATGACAGTAAAAGGTACATTGCCAGAATCCCCCTTAAAATGTTCTCTCTTCCAGCATACATATCCCACCCTTGGCGCCATTTCCTAAAGCACTTTGCAAAGTTCTCTGTCATGAGGGTCCTGCAGGTATGTTGCCAGGGCCACCCCAACCTCCTCACTTGACTCAAAATGTTCACCTTTCATGGTCATTGCGACTTCGCGGAATAGCCGGAAGACACACAGCGCTGAGTTCCAAGCAGAAGGTGAATGGAAACAAGCTATAATGTCCTCGTGGCCCTGTCTTTCCTTGGGTGGAACCTAGTAGCAGCACTCACTGTGTTTTTTTTATAACTGTTAAAAATATTCACGAAAGAAAACTTCCAGAACTGCTTCAGAATGCAGCAAGAACAATGGAGCAAGTGAATTCCAAGTGAGGGAAAGTATTTTGATCATTAACAATGAGTAATAAATTTTTATTATAACAAGAATGGCCCAATTTACTATTCATCATATATTTTGATTACACCTCATAATGCTATCCACACTAGAAGTGCCTTATGAGGCTAATACTAATAATTTTCTCTAGGATCTTATCTTTTCCACCAATGGAAAATCAAATAAAATCCACTTAATAGGATTAAACTTTACTATTTCTTGTAGTAGGTTGGTCTTTGCTTTATTCCCAGTATAGCACTGTTTCGCAGAAGTTATATGTTAGATGGTTTATACGTGTACAGAGAGCACTATGCCCACAGTGAGAACACAAGTGACTTGTCACAAAAACTACGACCTCACAATGAAAAGGTAGATTGAAAGGGGACAAACCAACCTCTCCTGCAGGGTGAGCACAATGATAAACATCTATTTCCTCCAATATCGTGAGGGTTTCTTGAAAAGAATGAATCTTCCCTGTATGTACACGAGTACACACATATGCATACACACACATGCGTGCACACATGTACACACAGCATTGGCTATGTATTTAACCCAGTATTTCCATATAGCCTACTTTTTAAGCCAAATCTCCTGAACATATTGCAACCCATAAATTACAGAAAACATGGTCAAGAACTTTGAAATTCATAAACTGCATCATAGTCTACATCTACCATCATTGATAAAGCTACATTTAATTCATCTTGAAACCAGAAACTTTGATAAGATCACTTCTATCCCAGCAAATGCTACACTCAGACACAGCTCGAACTACTGAGTCCTCTCGCTAAGAGCTGGAATGATTCTGTCCCCGCTGATGAACACCTCTACCTTTCATCCCTTACCTGGGATGAAGTTGGAGTCGAAAACACATGGCCGGCTCTCTGTGCTGTTCCCAGAACACTGGCTGCCCACCGGGAATGGGAGGAGGCAGTGGCGGACCCGGGTCTGGACCCCAGAAGGGTCACAGGCAGACCAGTCAGACCACTCTGACCAGCTCTCTGCAGGGAGTGGAAGAGGAGAGCACAGCAGGGTTACTCACTGAGACCAATCACCGTGGAAGCACAGTCCAATTATGAAAGTTATTCTAGGCTTTCCCAATATGCTTCTAATAACTATGTGCATAAATACGATACCTTTGCATCTTCTGATCAGTCCACTACATAAAATACACACTTTGAATAAAAACATTCCCATTTTGTATTCAGACAGAGAGCATCTCTAAAATAAGTTTCCTTTTCTTTTTCTTTTCTTTTTTTTTGGATTTAGTACAGGCTCTACAGGTTCTCACTACACAGATCAGACTTGGTCCTCCTATTTTCAGCCTCCCAAGGGCTGGGATTACAGGTGAGTGCCACCATGCTCAGCACACACTGGGGGCGGGGCCAGCCCTGCTTTTGCCTAAGTAGGCACTTTAGTCCACAGAGCTATCTGGTTGGCCCTGAAATAAATTTTCTAATGCTCACATGACTTTATGTAGTTGCAGGCCAACAGCAGATAAGCTAATCCAAGAGACCTAGCTGTGTACAAACTGCTAGCGTCAGTGGAAAGAAGTCATCAATGGAGACAGAATTTCTGCCAAGTCAGTGCTCCACTCCAAAGAGCAGCCCTTAAGCATATTCCTGGACAACTGCTGAACGTGCTCCACAGGGTGTGTGCTCAGGCAAGAGAAGTAACTGTGTTCCTGAGAATTTCCTGCATGCTGAATTGGAGTTTCAAGCCTGCTCAACTCTGCTGTGAAAACAATTTTACAGATCCACCTACTAAGTCCATCAAATTCATTCTGGGCTGGGGCTACTGAAAAGCATAAGGACAATTCCTACATCTTGAGTCCAGGCCAAAAGATAAGAGAAGGAAGGACAATCTGCCCTCAAGTGGAAGATCTGCTGAGATGTGTGCAGCTCTCCCTGCTGCTGAGAGAAGAGCTTTCATGGCCACGTAAAAAGCTCAAAAAGGCGAAATTTTATTATTTATGGGCTGCTAGTCAACATAAAATGACATTTTGGGGGTATGCAGTTTGGAAGGGAAGTTTGGAATTTTAACTTATGCTTTGACTTAGGTAAAAGAAGCAGTTTTTCTTCCAAATAAATAAAGTGCCACATTTTGGGATAACTGAGACTCTGGTTTTCTCTGCCCTATTCAATATCAGCATCACCACAGTGATCTTTCTAGACAGATCTACAGCGCAAGCTAATAAAGTGTTTCACTGTCAAAGTCAGATCCAGAGAATTCCTTATAGTTCAGAAAACTAAGCTCCTTCTTGTGCGTGCAGCGGGAGAGGCAGGAAGGGCTCTGGGGCATGTATGCAGATGCCTGCACTCGCAGAAATGCAGCCCCCAGAATTCTGACACCCAGAGTCCTGAGGCCGGTCAAGGTCCTCTGGATTAGTCTTCTCATCACCAAACATGACTGCTTTCTCTATGTTACCTTCAAGAACTTGTTCATTGAACAATACTTAGGGGTCCTCTGACACCATGAGCATGGGGGATTCCTGGGATTCAGCCCTGCAGACTTGGGTGGGAGTTCTACAGTTACTTTTCCCCATGTCTTTCCTCCAACTTTCTCTCTCCCTTAAGGCACTGCTTGTCAGTCACTAGCAAACTCAAGGTCAAGGTGGCATGGATTGCCCTTAGTGTGGGTTTGAGAATAATAGGCACACACTATACCACTGAGGTGCTAAAGGCTTTTAAGACGAGGCAAAGGGAAAATTATTTTTCTATGGAACAACATGTAATGAAGTCATATTAAGGGTAATTGTGTGGGTTTGATTTGTTGCCCTTCTGGTACTCTGACAGGGTATCATCAACTTCATACTTAAATGTCATGGAAAGAGACAGCTTCCCCACAGTACGCAGGTGGCGTGGCGCTGTTCACCTGGGCAGGGCTGTGTGTTGCAGAGAGCCTCTTCAGTGTGCAGCCCCAGGCAGATGTCTCCTCCATAGGCTGGGGCGGGGTTGGTGCATGATCGCGTCCTCATGTGGTGTCCTCCGCCACATGTTGCTGAGCACTGTGACCAGGTTGACCAGCAGGACCATCCACCATCCACTGGGAAGGAAACAGAGTCAGCCCTTCAGAAATCCAGAGTTAAACAACTGACACAGCTGCAGGTGGAACCCAAATTACTTGAAAAATCAGTGGGTGTGGTCACGTGGCTAAGGACCACACACTGAGCGGTGCTCATTGAGGGCAGCCTCTTTGTTCATGGGTCCTAGCTTGGATTTTGTTTTTCCTATACTTCTTCTCTACAGTTCTCTGTACATGTTCTTTCATAAACTGTTACTAAATATATACTGTCTAAGCTTGAGGGTGACAAAGGAGCAAAATAGGTATAATAAAAAAAAAATTCCGAATCATGAGGAGGACCGCAAGCCATACTGTGAGCTAATTAATGTGCACCCCTCGGCTAGTGCTCATCTCAGGCATCTGAATCTGGTACTTGGGCAGGCAAGACTTACAGCCAAGGATCATGATTCACGGGACAACTTCCTGTTCTAACTAGATTGCAATTTCCTCCTTGATGTTGGAGTAGAGAAAAGCCTACTATAAAGGCAAGGTGAAGCCTGCCTCCTAAATTCAGGAACTAAACAATCAAAGCAAGGGCAACCACCAAAACTCTAAATAACGAAGGAGAGGAGTCCAAATGCCTGCAGCCAGTCTCACATGGGTGTTGGGCAGAACTGGTTTGTTGGCCAAACCTTTCCATAACTTCCTGAAGCACAGAGAACCTCTGTCTGCTCACATTATCTCTGATTCCTGCAGAACAGTATCTTGAACTCTGGACCCTGCCAGCCCCTCTGGGTCTAGGGAACCTCAGTTCTGACACAGATGACATTTCTGCAGCTGAGACTTCCCATTGGCTTGGGTGTGTGACCGTATCGGACATGACTTGCTGCTTGGCCAACTCCGGACTGAGGCTTTCTCTGAGTAACCAACCATATTCTTCTTAGACTTTGTCAAAGAAGGTATTACACTCTCTTCACAATGTAAAGGCAACCATAGCCAGTATGAGAGACCACAAAGCCACATTCCCCTGAGAAATGAAGCTCTCTTTTGCCCATTCTGCTTAGCCTTCATCTTTGTCTGGCTCACTCCTGTATGTGCAAAGATGATGGCATAGAGGTGAATGTTTCCTTAAGTGGTTAAAAAAGAATGTGACCGAGTATGCCAAGGCAGCAACATGTCTTAGTGCTGCAAAGTGGCAGAACTGCCCCCCACTACTAGTGGCTGGAATGGAGGCTTGGGTAAGACCTTGTGAAATTCCAGGGCTAAGGCATGAGATGATATTTCTGCTGAGGCCCTAAGAGTCAAAATTAAATATGCCTTCCCAGCAGTAAAGTTCCTGGCTTTCCAAACATCAAGTTATTCGTTAAGCCACTATCTAACTGGGGAGCCTCTGTGCCTGGTACAAGAGTGTTTGTTCTGCTTTATAAGCCATGCCTGCAGAAGCCACTACTCCTGAGCATTCAGTTGTAGCCTTTCCCCAACTTTTCTTGCTGGTGACGCAAGCAATAAAGGACATGGTCACTCTAACTCTTGGCTCTTTGTTCCGCTGAGAGCAACTGGTCATCCCAGAGGCCCTTAAAATTGCACATCTCTCTTCGTCTTTCTTCAGCTGAGTGCCACATGACCTGGTAAGACACTGGACCCTCTGCGGGGGATTAGCTAAACCAAGGCTCCCCAAAGTAAAAGCCTAAAGAGAGAAATCCACCAGTATTATGTAAATATAATTATTACCATATTTTATTTCCTGTGTTTACTAAATAAACAGAAGCAACCACAACTGAGACTGCTGAAATAACTTAAGACACAAGGTTGTTTGCACCAGAAAAACTTAGAATTCACTGCACTGCATCCATCATCATACACTATCTCTTAATGAAAGTAGTATTTTCCTTTAGCTATAAGCACAGGTGAAAAGAAAACATTTCTGAGCCAGGCATGGGGCATATGCCTGTAATTTCAGCACTTGGGAGGCTGAGGCAGGAGCATCACCACTAGTTCAAGGCCAGCATGAGCTACGAAGTGATTTCAGCATTTTGGAGAAGCCTGACTAAAGATGTCTTTACAAAGAAAAAAACATTTGAAGTCAATTAAAAATAAGTTTGCCATCTAATATACAATGCATGACTAAATAGTTTATATATAAATTTGCTGAATTTAATATTTTCCCTAATGGTTGATAAGGTTTATGAGAAAAGACAAATTAATCAAATATATGATACTGCCTATATTAACAGCTGTAAGAAGGCAGATATCTTCTATGAGCTGAGAAAATTTCAGAAGTCCTATCTCACATCTGTTCTCACTTGCTGGCAGGAGTTTGGCTGTCTTTAAGCTAACCAGAAACTTGGTATCTCATGGGTAGCCTTACACACGGCACATTCCAGGGCGAAATTAAGTCTCAAGGCCTTTGAATTCCAGGTGTCACGTAGCATGGCCATCTCAGAACTTCCCAGGCAGTGCAGGGTTATGGGGCTGGCTGTGCCTGCTAGACAGGGTGACAGCCACACATTGAGCAAGCTACATTCCCCAAGCAGTGCTGGCTTATGCTGCGCTTGATGTGCTTGCAGCTGGGAGGCCAATGGGTTCATGAGAAGGTGCTAATCCTTGGGGGAAAGCAAATCAGACTCTTTGCCGGCTTTCACTGTTTGCCTGCTAGGATGGCTAGGATTATTTTAAGAGAAAATACTGGCAAGGGCTCTTAAAAATTGCACCTCTTAGATGCTGTTGGTGAGACTGTAAAATGCTGCAGAACCTAAGGAAAACAGAAAGGAAGATTTAAAAAAGAGCTTAAGAATTAATTCACCCTATGATCCAGCAATCCCAGTTCTGGGTACGCATCCAGAACTGGAAATCACAGTCTGCAAACAAACTGCAATTAAGGACGTAGCATTCTTGGGACCATTATGGTAGTTACCGTACACAACAGATAAGATATGCAAAGAGCCAAAACATGAAGGGAAAGGATAAAGAAAATGTGGTGTGTAGATATGAAGGGATATTATCCAGCCTTTAAGAACTTGCCACGTACCCAAAGGTGGACAGCCTGAGAGAGATACTAAATGTGATAACCAGGTAGAGAAAGGCAAGGACTCATAAGCCCACTCACATATGGTATTTCAAACAGTCAAACTAATATAAGCAGATTACAAAATGGTTTCCCAGGGATATAGGGGAAAGGTTCCAGGGGAGTTACTGTTCAACTACCATGAAGTTTCAGTTATCCAAGAGGAGCAAGTTTTGGAGCTCTACTCTACCACCCTAGAGCTCTGGCTGAACACACTGCACTGTGCACTTCAGCATTTGTTCAGAGAGAAAATTTCACCTGAAGTGATCTTAGATTAATTTTTTAAAAAAGAAAGTCTTCTAAGGATCAATGCGCTTATTTTGTCAATTTTCCATAATCATGCAACTTTAACAGCTTCACACATCTCTTCGGAGGTATTTCGAAGAGTATTTTTTCCTATATATGCTGCTTCACATCTGATCTAGGCTGAGATGCTGCCCCTCAACACACACCCCAACATCCCTCTGTCACGACAGCTTTCCTCAGCGTGGGCGGTTTATCTTGGAGCACGGCGAGTGTAACCACAGCCTGAAACCTGCACAGTTGGAGGATTCATAGGAGCAGAAGAGCACTGCTGAGACACCCCTTTGGGGAGCGCCCAGTGAGGCTCGTGCTATTTCCGTTGGGTTCATGCCCTGAGGGTTACACGAGAAGAACTTGGAAGTAGATGCTTTCACTGTGGAAAGCATTTGAAGGGGGAATTCCAAGTATCCCTTCACTCTCACAGGCAGTCCTGTGATCTGTATCACCCTCTGCCCTAGCAACGCTAAACTAGGCCTTGCTTCCTGTCTTCTACATCATGTCTGTACCTACATGTTGGAGCGCTGCCTTGGAGAATGTGGGCCTTGGGGTCTGTACAGTGTAGAAAAGGATGTTAAATACTGTCATATCCATTTGCATCAGGAAAGCTGATGTATTTCTAAAATAGAAACTGTAGTAAACAGCTTAAGGAGTAGCTTTTAGTGTGAGGGGGCATTCTGAACTCTGATTGGGGAAGCAGGGATCAAGGACGCAAAGCAAACATGAGCAAGGGCTAGCACTTCAGAGGTGGGATGAGGCTGGGAATAATAGGAAATAATAGTAATAGTAATAATGAGGAGGAGGAGGGGGAGGATAAAGAGGAGTGGGAGCAGAAACTCAGTAAGTTTTCCACTTACTATGGCCCTCAGGAATGTTCCAGAAATCAGTGGGACAAGGCACAGAGAAGTCAGGTTGCAGAGACTGCAAGTGTGGAGCTGAGAATGGCAGTGGCTGGCTGAACACAGGCCCATGTCCAGCATGAGAGCTCACAATTCACATAATCTTTGCCATTTCCACCCCAAAGTCTCCTGAGAGTCACCGCATGGCTTGAGCCAACATCTGAGTTAGCTTATGAAGGTCTGGCTCATGGACTTCAGAAAAATACTCAAGCTTAGACTCATGCTCCTCTCAGGGAATCAGAACAAGTAATGTTGGGGAATTATTTCTGGTCAAATGAAATTTATGATTTAATTCAACAGAAGATATAAATTCTTTTTTTCTAAATTTAGTACAGGGTCTAGAGGGTCTCACTACGTAGATCTGACGCATACTCATAGTGATCTACCTGTGTCCAGCCTCCCAAGTGCTGGGATTACAGGTGCACACTACCACATCCGGTCTCAATTCCTTCTCAGTGTGCCCTAGGAGCGAGGCTGGCACGGCATGCCAGGGATCAAACCTCAGCCTCTGTGCTCTGCTTAAACAGGCGCTGAAGATATAAATTCTTATTCCAGGAATTCTAGCTACATACTCCATCACTCCAGTAAAATATAACAAAGAGTACAGTTACCAGTGATCAAAGAGACCAGAGCCAAGCTGCATGCATCTGTGCTGGGCACGCTGTGCACACCCAGGGATGTAGAGCCCGGCCTCGAGGCCTCTCAGGACACGTGCGTGTGTAGTGCTGAACACTCTCCACACTGCGTGCAGCATGCGCAACATGCTCCCCACCAAAGGCCAACAGGGTGCTCTGCCTCTCCAAGGATCTCTGAAATTAAGTCTCTTGCACAACCACCCAGCCACCCACAGAATGAGGACCCAGGTCTCCCACCGCGTCCTCGAATACCAGGAGTGTGAAATAGGCGTTATCCAGAGAACACACACTTGTGAAAATTCCTTCCCTCCGTTCAAAAGGTCGGCCCCTATAGTAGACGCTCAGTGCTCTGTCTCCATGGCATTTATTGTTTGCAGAACAAAGACACAATGGGATTGTTTCTGTTAAATTTGTTCAAAAGAATCCAGTTTAGCATGGTAGGTTTTATGAGGCCTCGAGAAAATTTTGAGACAAACAACTGCAAAGTTTTCTGATAAACCTTACATGGCACCAAAGAACCATTTACTGTCTGCCTTTGTAGGTCAAAGTCTGGGTTGTTCAGCACTGAATCAAACATGGCAGGAGGAAAGGGCAGGAAGGAGAATCAGCTGTTTCTCAACCCTGAAAACAACTGGTATAAAGAAGGTACTAGTAATAATAATAAGCCTGTCTTCTGGAAGGTTAACAACCTAAGTTTGCAGACCAAAAACTAGAGAAAAAGAAGGGCTGCAAGACAGCCAGACTTTCAAGGTCAGTGCAAACTCAGAACGTAGGAGAACCTGTACTATAACATCATGTAACTCAGTTGTGCTCCAAATTTTCTGATCAAGATTATGGGGCCACAGAGGAAAAGGAACGATGATGTAGAGTGTGTCTAAGGAGAGTCACATGAAGAGAAAACATTCTTTCAGGCTTTCACAGAGAGCACATTGGTCAAGAAATGCTGTGACTCATCCACATGGCTGACACTGACAAAGGATCTATAAACTGCTATACAGGGTTCAGGATAAATCCTGAGGGGATTTGACTGACCTTATAAGACACAAAAGATACATTTCTTGTTATATACGTCTTGCTTTATCTTGTTCTTAACCATCCAGCAGAAAAGTATGAAAACAAAGTATAAAAAGTAAAGGCATATTAATATGCTGAGCTGTGAAAGGTGCAAGTCAACAACTTCTGACATTGCCAGACTTACAGAGAACCTACTACTATTATGGACTACTGGACTATATTGGAATATTTTGCTGAATTTATGCACTTTCAGTATTTAAATGACAATAGAATACTCTTCTCTGACAAAACTAACAAAAAAGTGGGATAGAAATGAACAACCATTTTGTATCTGTATATTCAAAATAGTTAGGATAGATATACAGCTCCATTCTCTTATTTCAACGAATAGAGAGGTCTGTTCTAATAGTGTTTGAGACAGGATATTATGTCTGTATCTTGTACAATAACCACTAAGACAACAATATGCAATGTATTAATTATTGAAAATGTGCTAGTAATCAGTTGTGAAACTACTCATTGCTATTTGTTTCTCAGTAAAATTATTTTTTTTAAAAAAGAAAGTACTAGTTAGATAAACCCACAGAAGGTAAAGAAAACACCTTGCACCATCTTTAAAACCTTAGTAATACTAGAGAGTTGGAGATAAGTTTTTTCATTAACTTAAAGGGTATTTTACATTCCTGTAGTTGGAAATATGTTTACATTCTAAGTTACAACAAGAAACATTATTTTTAGTGGAACACAACACCATTAGGAATCGTTCACTAGGACCCATCAGAGTTAAACAAGAGAACGTCTTCAGTGAGGTAAAAATAGCTGCACAGCTTCCTGTTGATGACCATGCAGCAGAGCATCTGTGGCCCTGGGGCTCCTTGCTCTCCCCCTTGCTGAGCTAGCTTCTGAGGTATTTATAGGAACTTTCCAGAAGGCTGCAAAGAGAGCTGACGGTTGCACTATCCTGCCTTGAACTTGTCCGCTCCGGGTGGAAAGTGGCATGGGTATTCTGACTAATTCCGCCACATTTCTTGGATTCTTGGCCTTAAATGGAAAATGGGGGCAGAGCTATTTTGAGATATTCAGTTCATGGTTCTGGCTTGGCCAGCAGGTCCACTGAAACAAAACACCCAGAGATGACGGATGGAAGTGTGTCTGAGACAGACAGGACTCAGGGATCGGAGCAGCGTCCAAACAACTGGAGGAACAGACACACTCGAGCCTGAGGAGGGGAGGGGCCTGGGGGTGCTGACCTTCCCACCACATACTCCCTCGATCCTCTCAAATCCTGCGCTATCGCCCACGGGCTTCCTCCCAGCACCCAGAGAGGAATCTTCTCACTGGGGCTGTGGGAAAGAAAGGCTCTGTGACCTTTCCCAGCCTCAGCATCAGCTTGGCTGGAAAAGCTGGGTGTACGGAGGAATGCTTTGTGGCTGGAAATAGTCGGGCGAGTGTAATAGAGGGTGAAGTGGCCGGACTGGGCTTCAGGTTAGCTGGACAGGGTGAGGAATTGAGGACTCCTCTGTTAGTCTCCCATCCCCCCTTTTCCTTTTTGGTGACAGGGTTAATCCAACATTGCCTAAGAATTTCTTTTTTTCTTTTTTTTCTTTTTGTTTAGGTAAGGGCCTACAGGGTGTTCAGGGTCTCACTACTAGATCCAACTCGGAGTGATCTGCCTGTTTACAACCTCCCAAGAGCTGGGATTACAGGCGTGCGCCACCATGCCCAATCTCAATTGCAGTCTCAGAGTACCCTGGGGGTGGGGGCAGCATGGCAGGCCTGAGGATCGAACCCGGAGCCCCTGTGCCTGTTCACAGGCGTTTTAATCTGCTGAGAGCTATTTGGCCAGCCCTTTACCTAAGCATTTCTTTACAAGGTAGCGCCCAAACCCAAAGCTGGGGGGCTGAGCGCCTTTTGGTGAACGAGAAGCCCTCCCAGGCACAGAGGACGCAGCCCACTCACCTGGGCAGGGCAAGACGTTGCACTCCTGGTACTCCACGGACGGGCCCAGGCACGGCATCCCCCCGTACTTGGGCTCCGGGTTGTTGCACACACGCTTCCTGCTCCGAATGCCCCTGCCACAGTCCCGGCTGCACTTGGACCAGGGTGTCCAGGTCGACCAAGCCCCGTTCACAGCGTGGGCAGCGTACCTCCCAGCGCGCAGGAAGTCCCCAGAAAGTCCTGTAGAGGAAGGAAAGGCCGAAGGAGTGATTCTGCGGGTGTTCTCCAAGGGATGGCGACCGGGCCTGGCTTCTTTCTGTCTCAATTATCTTCTCAAATTCAGTGAAACCTTTTCCTATGTCAGAAGCCAAAAGAATAGCACAACCTGCTAGAACTGAGGCTTCCTTTCCACAGCTGCTATTCACAGAGGAAGCTCCCTTCATCAGCGGGGCAAATTCCTCATTGAGTCCCAGAGTGGCAGTCCATTTTTGGGGGGTGGGGTGGGGTAGAAACTTCTAAACAAAACTGAAGTTTTCTTCGCTTTCCAGAGAAATTCTACAACCCACTGGCATCAGGAACCACGGGTCTCAAACCATGGGTCAGAGTCAGACACTTCTGGAGCCTGTTCCTTCAGCCACTGATGCTGAGGAGAGGGGCTGTGTAAATTGCTCCAGGCTCACAGGCCACAGAAACACCTCTCTGCCCTAGAGAATGCATGTCCTGGAACCAAGCACACCCCTGTAGAACCTGCCCAATGTCTCACGTGCCAGAAGGCTCTGAGCATGCTTGCTGACAGCTGTGTTTTCCAGCGACCAATGGACCAGCAGCAATGTAGGAGCTGGAGCGTGGGCTAGGTGGGAGCAGCAGGCTTTGGGATACTGCAGTCAACACTTTTTGCAGAGTTACATATAGTAGGTCTCCTGGGAGCTCTTTAACTCGACAACTGCTCTGAGAGTCTCAGGCAAAATTCGTTGAAATGCCTCTCCAATCACAAGCAAAAAGCTTCAAAACTTTTCTCAGCAGTAGGTCATGGGACACAAGCTCTAACTAATACTTCTCAAAGGGTACAGGGAAGTTATGAGGAATCACAGTTCGGAGAAAGCAAACACAACCACAGTTCTGACCTGGAGGAACTTTGTTGTTTGCTTGGAAACTCTGCCTGTGAGACCCAGGACAGACGGTCCTCAGAGCGAGTGAATTAGAAGTGCTTTCGGGGATGAACCCGTATGTTGTGGGTAATCAATAAAGGACAATTCTGCACAATTAAGCCTCATTTTGTGTGGTGAGGGAAAATGAGTCCAATTTTGTGATCTCAAGATGTCAATACCGAAATGTGAGGATGGGCTCTAGAATTTAAAGCCATTAGGACGCAGGAAATTTTTTTCCAAGCTGTGCCCACAACAGACTTTTGGAGAAAGTACAGGGCGTCATTTACAAATGTATTTTAAATGTTTCTTTAGTCTATGTTATAAACATTTAACCACACATTAGCTTTGGTTTTATCTGCATCTAAGAATGCAAGTTTGAAAAAGGAATCTAATTATAGAGAAAGCTTTGTTCATTGTTCTCTTACAGTTAAAGGCATAAGAAGCGAGACAGTTGAGTCTCTTTTGCAATCAGGGAATAAATGAATAAATTGAAGAAAGTATCGCCAGAGTAGCAATAAACATTAAGGTCAGTGAAATATAACCTTCACATAAACAAATAATGTCTTAGCATAAATGTATCCCAAATCATATACATATATCCTTACAAAAATCTGCACAGGGCATAGTTAGATTATTAAGATTGTATGGGAAGGTTATCTTTAAAAAATTTGTGTTACCTATTTAGACTAGAAAAACATTCTGAAAAAACTGGAAATTATATATATGTATATATATTATATATATTCTTGTATTTCATATCACAGCTATACATATACAGTTGTATTTCATATCACAACTCCAACTGGAGAGTACTGGATCATGTCTCAGCATGTAGACCTTCAGGTTAGGTCTTGAGCTGTCCACCTAGAGTTTCACTATATTCACATCCTGCTAATCACAAGTTTTTACAAGATGAGGAGGAGTAATGATCACCTGGTTGCTCCTTTTCTGTAGATGGGCAGTGTACGTTTTACTTATGTTGCACCTTCACTTACATAAAAACCCTTTATCATGTGACTCACGTCTTCTTGAGAAACTAAAGGATTACATACCCAGCCGGGGGCAGTAGTCTGAGTTCAACAGGGAGTGAACTTCAGTAAGGGCAGTACAAGCAGAGGAGCAAGTGCATTTTTATTTTATTTATTTATTTATTTATTTTGGCGGAACCGGGGATTGAGCTCAGATCCTTGCGTTTGCCAGTCAAGCTCTTATCCTACTGAACCATCTCCCTGGCTCCAACAAGTGTAATGGTTAGCACTCTGCACTCTGAATCCAGCAAGTGCATTTTTAAAGAGAAAGGAGCTTGACAAGAACTGGCAGCCTCCAACCTTCCAGGCTGCCTGTCGCTCCCTGGAAAAGACCTGGAGACCTGTGAGGTAAGAACAGCCGGTGGCTGCCAAGCGGAGCCCTCCATAGGAATTGGAGAGATCTAGTGAACACAAACTACGCAGGATCTATGATAAGCAAAGTGTTACTTGGGCGCTAGAATTTGGAGAGTCACCTAAACACAGAACTCTCATCACTGGTTCATGCTCTGCGGTTTCAGTTACCTGCGGTCAGCCACCAGCCAAAAATAGGAGTACTGGCCTTGACTCAAGGAGAAGACCACCTACCTTTTATTATACTATATTTTTATAGTTGTTCTATTTTATTTATGACTCAGTGTTGTTAACCTCATAGAATCACTGGGGGCCTCTGAATTAACCCTCACAGATAAAGGATAAGTAAATTTTTATAGTAAAGGTGGTTTTTTTTTTCCTTCATTTTTCTGTATGAAGTTAATTCTGCTCTGTAAGACCCTTGTGACAAGAACTACTAAGCCATAATGACAGAGAAAATCTTCCCCCTTGTGCATCTCCGGCCTCCGAGGCAAGCTCAGGTCTGTGGCTGGGCGCGGTCCGGCCTTGTGACACCGCTTCTCACCGTCCGTGGAGCAGCCGCTGGTGCCGTCACTAGAGCAGTAGCGCATTTCGATCCTCTGCCTTCCCACTTCCAGCAGATTGGGGTCCGGCAGGCGGGCCTTGCAGGTGTACCGGAAGCGCTGCTCGTAGTGGCCGCCGTTGTCGGAAATGTTGACGGGCGTCCACGGTGTCCAAGGCGTGGTCTTCTTCAGCTCGGGACACGGGTTGGTGTTACAAGGCTGGTACTCCTGGGAGAGAAAAAGCACAGTTCCTTACCCCAGAACGTTAATCTTTGGGGAAATTCCTTTCTTTTAGAAAAAGGTAAGGGAATCCAAAATTTCAAATCCTAAAATGCTACAAAATTAAAACCATGTGAAAATAGGTATTTTTTAGAATGGTTGGGATTCTCGAGAGCTCCAAAAGGAATTGGCAGCCTTCATAAACATGGACTTTAAATCAATAAACAACATCACATGTGAAAAAACGGTGATTTTGTGCAAACCATTTTAATTGCACTTTATAGGCAACTCAAGAAGCTGATTATTTTGGTGTTATGTTTATGTATTTGCTTTAAACGATTAAAGTTAAAATGATAGAAGCGTATTTTGTTTATCACACTACATGCTTGTTTAAGATTCATTGATAATATACGCCCGGAATCACAGATTCAAAGCGTTGAAGTTTGTGAGTATCACATGGAAACACAGAAATGACACTTTCGTCTATAAAAATTCCATCACTTCGCTTCTCACCGCAGCAGCGGCACTTCTCAGGTTTGCTTTGTTCCTCTCACTCACGGGTCTTCTCCTCACATCCAGGGATGGGAGGGTCCTGGCAGGCCGAAAGAGAACAGATCTGAAAGTCTGCGGAGTGAGCCAGGCTGTGAGACTTGGATGGGGCAGAGCTCTGGACGGTGCAAATCCGCCTGGGGCACTTACTGGTTTATTTAGTCATTTATTTATTTATTTTGTTTTGTACGGGGTCTCACTGCGCAGCTCAGACTCGTGGTGACCCTCCCGTCTCAGTCTCCATTGTGGGATTACAGGCGTGCACCCCACGGCCTGGTTTCAGTGTCAGCACGGCTTGTGGTACAGGGAATCAAAGCCAGGTCCTTGCGCTCGCCAGGCAGGCACTTATGCTGCCGAGCTATCTCCCATGCTGATTTATTTGACAATAATTCTAAATACTGTGTCATCCCAGTAAGAAATAGAGAAGTTAATGTTTAATGCAATTCTACATCACATGTCTTCCCTTAGACAATAAATGATGCTCTACTGGAGAGGAAACCAGCAGCGTGTAATACACCTACTTATGCTGATAACTTAAGATATTTTTATCAATGCTAACTATACACTTAAAACAAGAGTGAAATCTCTCGCTAAGCTTTAATATCAATGAGAAATTACTTCCTTTTCTTTCAGTTGAATTTTTGCATTTTCCTCCACAGAGCTAACATGAAATTTTCAAGATTATGCACCATCCATTAACTACCTACCACGGAAAAGCAGGGTTTGGCCTTTTGTTCTCTGGCGCGCTTCCTGTGTTGTACTGCACATGACTGCATTCTTCCCATGGCCTGCCGTCTTGGTATAGTTACACCATAATTTTGGTTAGATCAAATCTGGTGTTTTACCAATCACAAGGTAAAGACTATTCATGCCAGGGTGATAGAGTAAATTGATATGGATATTTGTATTTTCTGTCTAGTTCCCTTCCAATCCGACTCAGTGGTTCTCTTGTTTATTCATTTACTTGGAAGTTGCGTAGTTTCTCAGGTATTTAAATGAAGAAGTAATAGTATGAGCTACAGGACCATGGGGTGGTCTAGTTGAGTCACTGATGGAGGAAGCAGTCAGAGCTTTGACCCTTTCTTGCTGGCTCACCAGGAACCCCTGTGTCCTGCCCTGCCTCAAGATGGAGTCCTCAGCTCCTGCAGGCCTCCGGGAGACAAGCAGAGGGAGGGTCCTGGGCTCTGGTTTCTCTCCACAGGCTTTCTCTGCATCAGCCTTTTCCCAGCTCCAGACCCAGTGTCCAGAGGTCCAGGAAGGATGGATAGAGTAGGCCTAGGCCTCTTCTGGAAGAGGAAAGAAGGTCTGCAGGCCTGATAATTTTTTAAACCCAAACTATTGCACCACTAGCAAAGAAAGTGAGGCTGCCGACTCCTGAGCTCTATGGACTCTGGGCTGTGAACCTTATCGTGCAGAAGCTGGGCGCTGGCGATACATTTCTAGTTTCTACAACTAAGTAGTAACATCCATCAGACTCTATGTGCTACAAAGCAAAACTAGTAAAAAAAAAAAAAAAAAAAAGGCTGTGGAAGTTCCCACTACCAAACACCAATATGACCTGCTTCCAGTGGAGTCACAAGAGCTTAATCTGCCACAAAACAGTTACACATCCACACATGAAGTTCTGTCTCAGTGAGGGATGTTTATTGCAGAGTCAGCACTCATGGGTTCTCCTCAGGCCTGGCATGCTGACCTGTCACGTACCAAAGTACTAGACACCCCAGAGGACACAACAGCTCAGCGCATACTGCATTGCTTGCACGAAAGACCCAGGCACAGTAAGACCCTTGTCATCCTGGGAATGGTGGGAGGTTGGCTTTCCCGAAACCCAACTTTCCAGACACGAGCCAAAGCTGCCCTTGCAAGTGCTTGGCGTGGTCTGGGTTGGAGGCTGTGTCGATGTCTCCCAGCAGTTCCCCTCTGCCGGTCTTGGCCTCACTGATCTTGGATATGTTTCCAAATTCCATTAAAAAAATGTGGCATTTCTTTCTTTTGTTGTGATTTTAGAGCATTTTTAGAGGGTTGAAGAAACTATCTCTTTCATATGTAATTAGTGACTTTCCAGTATAGAGAAGTTAGCTGTGTGCGTATGTCCACACCACTAGCTTCAGCTGGAAGCACGCTTGCTACTTTCTCCCTAAGCTAAGTATTCTAACTAGGTTTGTTTTGCTTTTTCTTATAATCCATCTTTTGTATAGATATATTTTTTACAGTGAATACTGCTTGGGAGTTAAGAGGAGATATGTAAAGCAAGTAAGGCTGCTTCTGAAACACCAGCTCCTCATTCTTCTTGGGCAGTATCACCTCACTACCACTCAAAGTAGAAAGGCAAATGGCTTCATGTCCCTCTATGGACAACATCTTCATTACAAAATCTTTTGAATGCTGTCTTCTAAATGAAAACACTGCCCCAGAAAATGCCATAAATCTAATCCCGTGAAAAGCTTGCTGCAGTGTGTGTGTGTGTGTGTGTGTGTGTGTGTGTGTCTCATCTGGCAAGAAAGCTGCATGACAAGACCTCAGTAAACCTCTATCGTAGCTTTTCTGTGTCCATGGTGAAGGCTGCCATGGAATGACACACCACAACCCTTGCTCCTTTCACTCCATGCCAAATTGGCCAGGCAAATGTCTGAGACTTCCTTGCTAAAATGTCCTCACAGCATAAAACAGTCAGGTTTTAGATATTGGTAAGTTTTATTTTACTTGTAAAAGAGCAAGATCCGATGGCTTAGTGAACATAAAATACACCCTCAAAAGCCTTAGCTCCTTCACACTAGAAGTGTCATCTTTTCTATGCAGTGAGGTTAACTTGTCAAATCTATAGTGGCTAAGTATGTTTGGGAGCTGCTGCCCACGTCCTGCCTCACTCTCTGGGCTGTTTGGTCTGTGGGGGACACAGACCATGGCTGGAGAGCTCAGCTCAGGCTCATCAGAGCTAAGCTTCCCTTAGCTACATCTGCTTGTAGATTTTTTGTTTTCTCACAGAATGGTTTTGGGACTGCTTTCCTCCAGTTTTTGATGTATGATTAGGATGCGCTCTCTCGAAGTACTGAATCATGAAAAGGTTGAGAAATGTTAAGCTTACTCTCTTTCATACTAACACAGCAACCAAAATTATGAAGTAACTGGATTCAGTGATTACTTAGATGGTTTATCTGAATGTGTATGCTACAATTTCCTGGTTTACTGCTGCTCTAGGTACCCAAATTTAAATGGGACTTGAGCAGCATTCCATTTAACACTCAAGAAAAAGAGCTTTTAAAAACTATTTTAGCTAATTATGATTATTTGCTACCTAAGATTTGTAACAGTGTGGTGCAAATTGCAAGATTAGTCAACAAAGTTTAAACAATTCCTCCCAATATGTTCCCCTGTGAATTCTCTATGCCAGGTAACAGCGACAAACCATCCATTTAGAAATTGCATCCAGCAACCCGTGAGGCGCTGGGATGGGTCTTGCCCGCCGCGGTGCCAAGGCTTCCAGGCTAGGCCCTGGCGTTCACGCTTCCCCTCATCTCAGTCCCCTCTTCTGTTTTCAGGCCACCACCACTACAGGCCTGGTTTTCAGACTCAGAGCCTACATTTCACCACATCTTAACTGCCTATTTACAATTCTGCCTGCACTAATAGACTGCAAGTTGAGAACAGCGCACTTTGTCACATTTATTTTGTATTACCCATCTTGAACACAATTTCCCTATTAACTTGGTGAACAGGCAAATCATTTTGATCAAATTCCAGATGCAATTTTATTTAAGGGGAATCTGCATATATTTGAGGAGAACATTTTGGGAATTTGAAGCTAAGTGCAGCCTCCTGTTTTGATTTTATTTATTCTACTGTGATTTTGTTTACTTTCATGAAAAGCCTAAATTACTCTATATTTTACAGATTAAATGTAAAGAGGAGAGATGGAAACAGTCCAAGCAGAATTTTGATATCATAAGCTCTGTGCAAAGTGAAAAGATTACCCTTAAAGTAAACCTCTGAACATATAAAGAAAATGCATTCTTAGGTACAATACTTATGACTTCCATATGTATTTATAAAGTTCTCTTTCAGAGCCTGAGCCTGGCAAGTTGAGAGAGAAGGACAATGGCCTAAAAGAAATGACAAATTTAGGGCCAGCCAGATAGCTCCGCGGCCTAAAGCGCCTGCTTAGGCAGAGTGCAGAGGCCTGTGCTGGCCCCACCCTGAGGCATGCTGAGATGGTGACTGAGACTGGGCGTGGTGGCACACACCTGTAATCCCAGCACTTGGGAGGCTGAACACGGGAGAATCACTATGAGTCCCACCTATGTAGTGAGATCCTGTAGACCCTGTAGACCCTGCAGACCCTGTCCTAAATACAGAAAGAAAAGAAAGAAGCAACAAATTCATTCATTTGTGTTCACCAAGGCCAGTGTATTCAAAAAGTGCAGATCTACAACCTGGAGGCCTGTGTCCAAAAGGGCGGAGCC